ATTTTTTTTTTTATTTTTATATACGTATAACCTCAAAGCATCAATAAGAACCTACTTTGGCGTAACTATAACACGCATTGCTACGTTTAACAGTTGGTTTAACAAGTACATACATTTGTCAGTTGTCAATAGGAAACCATTGGATTGTGGACTGGTCGTGGTTACGTTTTGCTCTGAACTTGAATACCATTGCATAATATATTTCGCAATAATGACCGGCCGGTTTCTTAATTAGCTTTCTATTTAACGACATATACAGATTCACGTCACCTCCTTTTACTAAATATGACTATTTGTTTTTTTTTTTTTATTTGCATACCTATTTGAAGTATGTAAATAAAGGAAAACAAGTATTCGACTAGAGGGAAGTGACTGTTATTTTTTAATAGATTATAATAGAATGGCAAACCCGCCCACGTTAACGGTGTACACTGGCGGGGCACCAGTGAGGGATGACAGGTGAGAATGAAAAGGCAGATCAGTCAGCCCATTGTGATGAATATACCTGGGATTTAGCACGATTGTTTACGTGAGCGTTGACTGATGCGATGCAATTCTGTCAAAAAATCCGTTTGCATTTTATCTAATGGGTCTGATCTGTTTATATCCTTCCATTTTCTATAATCCCTTATTAGTACCTTATTACCTTGTCATGCAAACCAATACGAGACTACAATGTTTTCTTTTTAATTAAAAAAGAATTTATTCGACAATAATAATCCGTAGCTCTTAAGTTGTTCTAAAAATATTACTTTAATATGGCTCTATTAATTTTATACAAGTATAGCCATTTTAATTATTTATATTCTTTATTCTCTATGTTATAAAGTCTATAATTTCAAACGAGAATAGGCCCAAAAGGTAACAAATTAACTAACAAACTTGTTTCCCAATTAATTTATGGAGCAATTCCGACAAATAATTTATGTTTACTACGTCAACGTAATGAAAGTAAAAAAAAAAAATTCGAATATTGAATTACGTAAAAAAAAATATTAAAATAGTTTCCGCTTCCGCGCCTGCGCAGTAGCGCGCTGTAGTTGTCGTGTTGTTGGTAATGTAGCGTAACATGGCTTTTATACCATGATTTGATTGATGTAGACTGATATCAAACGTCACGAGTTTTAATAATAACGTTATATCGTAGCGTATCTTAATTGTGAATCTGAGAAGATCCTTTGTTTGCTTTATAAGTACATTTGCATATACATATGTATAGACAAGTACATATTACTTAAATAACATACATATTGCTTAAAATTAAAATTGCTTATATTTTTTTTTATACAACTTAGAATGGCAAACAAGCTGACGGAAAGTGGTAACCGTCGCCTATAGACATGAGCAGTACCATGGACATAACAGAGTATACTGTTTCGCCCATGATACCCCCCATGCGTTGCCATTCCTGAGGACTTAGGTGTTATTCCTCTGTACCCTGTAATGTCACGCCATATCCCACTCTTCAAACCGAAACAATGCCATGCAAACACAACTGCTTCACGATTGAAACACATGGGACAGAGGTACCCAAGCAAACGACTTTTGTACAAAGTCTCCCTCTGGTATACAAAATTATTAAATTTTTTCTCTCTACCTCTGTATTTATATATGTATATACCTAACTTTTTATAATGTAATAACTGTTTAAGAACTGTGATTGTGATTTTCTTATATTAAATTCATTCTTTTATGTTACGTTTTTTAAGTGATAACCTTGATGGGCTTAACCTTTTTTTCGCCATCAATACCCAGAGAAACCCAATATACATATGGATGTCGGATCGGTATCCACATTATATATTATTATGTCATGCAAAAACTACTGAAGTGATTTGTATGGAGTGAGCGCGGATAGGTTTTTTTTTGATGGGTGAAAATGGTATGGTAACTCCGCCTGCGCTAGCGAGATACGCTGACGGAGCACCAGTGAAGGGTGATAGATGAGAATGAAAACATGTCAGTTAGCCAATCATGATGAATTCATCAGGAATTAACCATGATAGTTTCCAGGGAGAACCGCGAGGAGGTCGACCTGGTTGGGTATATTGCTAGCAATGGGATTCTCAGTCTCCATTACTAACAATCCCTTTCCCCCCACGCGGATATACTCGTATACTAACTTAACATATAGGCTACTTTATACAGTGATTCCTGAGGGCGAAACCGCGCGATACAGCTAGTTCTGTATAATACGAATAGTCCATATAATTATAATACGTTAATTTTTGTCGTAAACTAATAATAAACAACCTACACGACGACCGAACAATAAGAGAAGTTTTCGAGTTGCACAACTCTGACTCGAGTACAAAAGACATTAGTACTAAGCTGCCAGGCGTGTAACAATGCAGTGGCGCGCCCACGCGTGTTTCTTTAAATATCCTTATGACGTGGCATGTACCCACATAATTTGAGAATGAGTCTCATAATACGATATAAGGTTTATTAATACTTTTTTTTTTTAACAGGAATGACAAAGACGAGTTCTGGGTATCTTTATTTGAGCCGTTTGATGGCAAATCGTGGCCAAGATGCTTGTAACTTAGGGATGTCAAATGCGCGTATTTATTTTATGATTCTCTTCTTTTTTTTTTATACAACTTAAAATGGCAAACAAGCTGACGGCCCACCTCATGGAAAGTGGTAACCGTCGCCTATAGACGTGACATAACAGAGTATACTGTTTCGCCCATGATACCCCCCATGTGTTGCCATTCCTGAGGACTCGGGTGTTATTCCTCTGTACCCAGTAAATTCACGCCATATCCCACCCTTCAAACCGAAACACAGCCATGCAAACACAACTGCTTCACGGTTGAAACACGAATGAGACAGAGGTACTCAAGCAATCGACTTTTGTACAAAGTCTCCCTCTGGTGGATTATGTATTTTAGTATTATATTATCTGTGATTTTGTAAATATTATGAATTATTTTATATGCGTGACATTGTCTGCACGACCTAAATGCTTTGATTGGCTGAACGGATTAAAATTACTTTTTTATAGATAGACAATATCGTCTATCAATTAACACATAGGATTCTTTTTTTTTCACGCAGGTAAAGACATATAAATATAGTATATTATAATTAGTTCTCTTTAATTAAAGTACGTCATACATTAGAATTGTTATCTGTAGATATATTTATGAAGCTGCTATTTTGTGTTACTTTACACGAAAAAAATATGTTTTTTTTTTTTACTTTTACAAAGGTAAAGAAAAAACGCAAATTATGGTACCTAAAAATCAACCAATAAACAATAATTATTGCATAATCCAAAGAAACGTTAGATAAGCGATAGATAAACAACGGTGCGCGCGCGCACAGTGAAAGCTGTTTTCTCTGGCGGGATGCTGCGCGCGCGATTTTACTGCCTCTCCGTTACACGATACAGTGAAATTAAATCATTTCGGCCCGTCATTCTGTCATTTACAAATCATCTATGTCCACATTAATATTATTATAGAGATAAAATTTGATTTATTTATATGTAGCACGTAATTTTAGACAGTTATAAAGTTGTAAAGAGATTTATGAGTAAAAAGGTTTTTTATTTCTAAATATCGATTGAATATATAACACACACATACATACACACACACATGTTAAATATCATCATCATATCATCCCTCAACTGTCCACTGCTGGGCATAACCCTCCCCCTTGGGGTTTTTGGCAATAGTTGCCACGCTTGGCAGGCGGGTTGGCAACCACAATTAGGCTTTGAAGATGTATTAAGAGAAGCGCTGCTGCACATCCCTCACCTTCCCCGTTAAATATGTTAAATATACATAATTTAAAATATAACTGAGCAAACAAAAAAAAAACTATTTAAATTCTGACAAAGTTATTTCTTATTGAACATGAAAAAAATCAATTGTGATGTTACTAAAATTAATGTACTAGAACAAACACAAGAATGTAACTTATTGATTGCAAAAATGTCATCAAATTTTATTTATTTTTTAGTTTTATTTTTAGTTGATGTTTGCTAAATTACGCTCGCTAACAGTAGATATTAAGTGCATGTTCATAGTTTTAAATTTCTCATTTAAGTGATTTATGTAAATCTTTAGAGAAATAAATGTCTCTTAAACCGTAAATTTGCTTTAGATTTGGCAAATATATCAAGATACATATAACACGTGTATTTCTATACATCTTCATGATTGGAGTTATAATGATGGTAATTTGTTTTAATAGAAAATTAATAAAAATGTAAAACAAATGAATAATTGAGCTGATTATAAAATTAAGATCTGATATCCAATACTAGTGTTGCAAATAAAAAAATCAATTCATTAATTAAATGTTTCAATTTATCACTAATTTTATTTTGTGAGTTTTTTTTGTGATAATTTCAACATATTTTAGTTACTATTTCATTAAGTTTTATCGAAATAAACTATATCTTTCAGCTATCCCATGCTGACTGCTAATGCGTATTAATTCTCTCAATTTATAGTTTTTTTTATGCAACTTAGAATGGCAAACAAGCTGACGGCCCACTTGATGGAAAGTGGTAAGGTCGCCTATAGACATGAGCAGTAAAATGGACATAACTGTTTCGCCCATGACACTTCCTATGTGTTGTCATTCCTGAGGACTCAGGTGTTATTCCTCTGTACCCAGTAAGTTCACGCCATATCCCACCCTTCAAACCGAAATACAGCTACACAAACACTTGTGCTTCACGGTACAAACACGAGTGGGACAGAGGTACCCAAGCAAACGACTGTTATTATTATAGTAGTCTTTTTCGTGATGATGTCATGAAAGTATAAGTCGATTTACTTTTTATAGGATCTAAGAATAGACACTAAGGTTCACAGATTTTTATCTGTATACCATTAAGCCGAGAGTCAGTTTTCCGCTAAATATTTTTAAAAACAGTAAAAAAAGACTTCCAAAATCTATAACAACTGGTTATTAAAAAAAAAAAAGTTTTAGTTGTTCCTTGTTCGTATTTTAAAATAGCTTTTTTTTTGTTTCAGATATCGAGGGCGAGAGAAGAGGAACGATAGTTATTAAAAAAAAAAAAAAAACTATAAAATATTTAAATTGTAAAATAAATCGAATAAATTTTTGTGTTTAATTAATAACCTACAACCTTATCCCATTTTAGTTTTGATGTAAATACGAATTAAGTCAAAGTAAGATTATAAATTTATGCATTAAACGTTTTGTATTTTGAGTTTTAGATTTATTATTGAAAAAAAAAATTTATAAATAGAGAATTTATAAATAATAATTATATATTAATATATTAATAGAAATTTTAGGTAGGTATTGAAAAAGACTTTTTAAATATAAAATAATTTATTTTATCTACGACTCCGATATATGATTACAAAATAATCATCAAAATGGGTTACTCATCATCACCATTTCAGCCATTATCCGTCCACTGCTGGACATAGGCCTCCCCCATAGATTGCCATAAAGAACGGTCCTGATACATCCACTGCAATGATTCCCTGCAATGCATTTCAGGTCGTCACTCCATCTAGCCGCCATCTAGCCATCTCATTCCGTCTGCCAAGCGTGGCAACTAAAACCCCCCAATGGTAACATACGTACAAAGGAAAAATACAGACGAGAACTTACACCTTATTGATATTTTAAAAATAATTCCTCAGCTGTCTGTTGGTTTTAGGTTTAGTTATCTATTATATATATAATATCAATGCAATGAGGGAAGGGATTGTTAGTAATGCAGACTATCAGTACCATTGCTGAATATATCCTATCAGATCGACCTCCCCGTGGTCCACCTTGGAAACCATCGTGCTGAATTGACTGACCTGCCCTTTCATTCTCACCTATCCCTAACTGATGCTTCGCCAGCGTATACCGTAAGCGCAGAAGGAGTTACCATTCCATTATCATCCATTAAAAAAAAATATCAATGCAATATTTAGAATACTAAATGTAGTCCGCAGCTTTGCACGTATTTTTTTTTATGCTACTTAGAATGGCAAACAAGCTAACGGTCCACATGATGGAAAGTAATAACCGTCGCCTATAGACATGAGCAGTACCATGGACATAACAGAGTATACTGTTTCGCCCATGATATCCCCCATGCGTTGCCATTCCTGAGGACTCAGGTGTTATTCCTCTGTACCCAGTAAATTCACGCCATATCCCACCCTTCAAACCGAAACACAGCCATGCAAACACAACTGCTTCACGGTTGAAACACGAATGGGACAGAGGTACCTAAGCAATCGACTTTTGTACAAAGTCTCCCTCTGGTATGGTGTCATGTTTCCCTTTTTACTTTATAAAATAAACCTATATTCCAAATGATAGCTTTCTAGACTTAGTAGTTTACTCTGTACTCTTCTACTCTGCGTTGACAGTCAATACAACGATATTATAAGTATAGATGTAGCTATTATGTTTGCTAAGAGTACGTTTGGAGTCAACTGGTGAGTGTAACCGGCCCTGCAAGTAGGTCAAGTGAGCCTGCGAAGATGATATCGACTACATAATTGGTTGTACTGAGTACCTACGTAACCTATCACTGCTTATAATATACCGTGCCGTAGTACGGCATGATATCGTATGATTTTACCGTCTCGTCATGATAGAAAAGGAAAAGCAAGGTTGCCAGATGCTGTTTTCTATTTTTGCTCAAATATTATTTTCCAAATCGATAGAATTGATTTAAGTTTTAGCCAATCATAAACTTATATTTTTTCACTACGTAACCCCAAAGAGAAATAATTTATGACACTTCCACAACAAAAAAAATTTTAGTTTCAACTCTAAACTACTGAATCGATTTCGATACAAATCCTATGGGACCAATTTGTTAGTGTATCCTTTCAGATAAAAAAGACATTTCCAAATCGGTTTACAACTGACGGAGTAACCTTCTTTTTAAAGTCTGTTAAAAAAACACTTTCTTACATCTCTTAGTCTCTGTTTTGATACTTTCATTCATATATTTTATTGTATTTATGTATAGTTTACAAACATGAAAACTCAAGAAAAATTACCTAAACCTCTTCAAATCCATTTCACTTCTTCTCGTTTGTTTCTCCAAGAATTGATAATTCTTAACAATTTCATGAATACAATTTTTTTATCTACAATTGCAAAAAAGTACTCAATCAATTCAATTCAAATTCAATTTATTTTATTCGTTACAATATTGCATTGTGTTGAATATTTTTGCAAGTGACAAGAAGATATCGTAAAATATAACAAAACAAAAAATATATGAAGCAACAAAATAACCAATAATAATTGTCAAAAAATAACATTACAATCAATTTAAAAGTCATCAGTAAGGCATAAAATAATGAAAGAGTATTTTAAAATTCATCAATTGAGTAGATGCACCTTTTCAACAAAAGAGTCAAAAGAACAAGAGAGAATCTGGCGACGCTGAAAAAATTGTGTAAGAGAAAGTTTGTACCATCATCTATATTATACTTCTGACCTCTGACATAAGTACCTACTTGTAGTTCTACCCAAAGAACTGTTTTTGCATGTTGGATGGTATAGAGAAGTGAAATTATAAGGTATGGCGTCATAAAATCATAGTTCTCAGAAATGGCAACGCATTAGAGGTGCCCCAATATATTTTATAATGTCTATAGGCGACGGTTACCACTTTCCATCAGGTGGGCCGTCAATTTGTCAGTCATTAGAAATTGTATAAAAAATGCAATTATATGTAGACGTAATGTTTATAGCGCTAAAGGGCCAATAACTAACTTAAACTTGTTTTGATATTTATAATATTAGCTGTATCCCGCGGTTTCGCCTGCGTGAATTAGTAAGTATTTATAGTAAGTATATATTCTTATCTGCTAAGTTAGTTTTCACCTACCGGTGTACCAAGATTTCATTCAAATCCGTTCAGTATTTTTTGCGTGAAAGAATAACAAACATATGTCCATCTATTGCACAGAAATTTTCGAATTTATTATATTGATTGGCTTAGTAGGTATTCCCATTTTAGCGTGTATGCCAAGAAAGAGTTTTCAAATATTTCTAAAAGAACAGACATGGCCCTGTGGTCCCGATATACATTAGGCCACCCCTTCCTTTTCCGTGGGTGTTGTAAGAGGCGACTAAGGGAGGGCGAGGGATGGGCAGCAGCGTCTTAAAACATCTCTAAAACCTAATTGCGGTTGCCAATCGTAAAAGCGTAACAACTATTGACAATATCTCCAAGGAGGAGGCTTATGTTCAGCAGTGGACAGTTAAGGGCTGATAAGATGATGATGAAATGATTAGACAGCAGCGTTCATCTTAAAACATCACCAGAAGCCTAACTGCGGTTGTCAACCCATCTGCCAAGCGTGGCAACTACTGGCAAAACTCCTCTTTATGGGAGAGGCCTATGTCCAGCAGTGGACAATTAACGGCAGATATGATGACGATGACTTTATATAAATTCTAATGAATTGCTAAGCACAAAATTCGAGAAAAAGGCTGGATTAATTCTGCTAATTTTATTCAAATATTTTTTGAAGTCAAGGTTCTTATGAAAAGAAAAATTGTCAAAAAATACGCAGAAATCCCATTTTACTTTTTTCTATACAAACTGTTCCTAATGGCTAATTGTAGGAATTCAATTGTGTCCCCAATTAAGTTCAATAATTTCTGACAGAGCGACGTTCGTCGGATCAAATAGTTTTATAATAAAATTGAACCTAGACTTGGAAGATATTTGAAAAAAATTAATGTGAAAGTCATAATAAAATCAACAGATGACAAACTAATAATTTTTAGAAATTTTGTCTGTCTGTATGTTTATTTATGTATGTATTATGTATATTTATTTATTTATGTAATATTTTATTATATATTTTAATATTTTGTTTAACTGTATATTTGTTTATGTATTAATAGTTGTAGCACTTCAGCTGCCCGCTAACGAAATGCTTTCTTACTGTACTGGGTTGACTGTAAGAGATCTCTGTCAGAGATAAGTCTACCCTTGCTCACAACATTTATAAATAGATTATTTTATATGTAACTTACAAGTGCAATAAAGAATATATATATGTGTTTATTGTGGCACCTCGCAACAATAAATTGTATACATTCATAATTATGTTCCAAAAGGCTTAAAATCTGGTAGGTGTCTGTATATTTTATCTCGATAAAAAGCCATTTAAAAGTAGAAGTCTATCAAGTACCAAAAACTATGCGAACGAATTACGAATTTTGGTCAAAAGCTAGTATTGTACAAAATATAATGTGAATGATACTGGCTAAGCTATTCAAAATGTATTTGTACTGCGATCCTTAGAAAGGTCAAAAACCTTTCAGGCGATGGGAGAATGTATGATTCACAATCACTCTGCGAGCGAAGACTTAAATTTGAATACCTTAAGGAAATAGATATAGGAATAAAGCCTTATACCGTGCCGCTCGACCAGTATGGTAAGGGTAAGCTACATTGGGAGAGACATATAATGGGTTACTTAGAAACTGATTCCGCATAGGTAAAGTCGCGAAAATTAGCTAGTGCATACATATAACATGTTATACAATTTCGTAATTTTATTTCTATTTAAAAAATTTAAAGGCTTAAAATATGTATGTGTGTTTGTTACACAATTATGCTTAAACAGATTAAACAGCAGAATGAATTTGAATAGAAATTATAATACAAATTTTCTATATCTTTGATTAATACATAGAATACTTAATTTACGCGGAAGAAGCCAACTGTATAGTTGGTTGCAATATAATAATAATAAACATAAATATTTATTTAAAAAATTTATGCGAAGGCTATGAGATCGATACAAAAACGCCATTTATTTAAACTTATCTTTAAAAATAATATTTCATTTTACTGTCACGTATATAATCGCATAGTCGTGTGGTCGTCTCTTCCTTTTTCGTATGTGTCAAAAGAGGCAGCTAAGAGAGGGCTAGGTATGGGCAACAGTGTTCTTCTTAAAATATCTCCAAAGCCTAACTGCAGTTGCCAATCCGCCTGCCAAACGTGGTAATTTCTAGCAAATCCCCCCAATGGGGGAGGCTTGTGTTCAGTAGGGAGCAGTTAAAATTGTATATAATATCAAATTCTTTATTCTGAGGACAAATATGAACTAAATTTCTAATAGATTTATGTCAAAATTATTATAAATTGAGTTCATAATGGACTATAATAAGGCTTATTTTTATATCACTGAGATGGCAAATAAGCATACGGCC